AGACACTAAACGGGAAGGAGAGAGATCCTGCAAAAGGATGGCGATTAATAAGCAGATAATGAGAGGCCGAGAACTTCGAAACCTCAAATTCCCTGTGAACTTCCTTGTCAGTGAAAAAAATCCAACATCCCCCAGCCCATCTGAAGAAACCAACCTTAGCCGGCTCAGTACCTGTTCACTAATGTCACCTGGGAGAGTTGTTTCACCATCGGTACCTATACGACCTGCCCCACCACCCCTCATTGCTTCTGGGCTGGCAATAAGAGTAGACTGGAGTTCAGCTCAGGTAGAGATAGACAAGCCCTGCTCCAGGAAAAGTTGCAGAATCTTGCCAATTTGTATTGGCAAGAGTCTGAGGAGACTTGGGAAGAGAAATTTTTTTTCCATACATTTTTACAATGTTTTAATTTTTACCAATAAGAATATATTAATGAGAAACTATTTGTTCTGCAAACCTTCATCTAAGGTACCAAAAAAAAAAAAAAAGAATTATCTATGTGAGATCAAATTGACAACAGCAACTAGAAGGTTTGATGGGAAGCCGAGGAGACAGTGAGTTGAAGATAATGGTGATGGAACAATTTGGAAAAGGATAGTGAGAATAGCAGCACAACTGGAAGAATGTAATTGATGTCACGAATTGTTCATGTAGGAACTTTCAAAATGGTGTAACTTTGGCTAAGCATATTTTCACCAAATAAAGGTCCTCAAGGTCGAGAAGGGAGAGTGGTGACATGTTGTGGGGTTGTTAACCAATGTCATAAAACCATATGTGTACTGACTGTTTAAAGAGAAACTATTTGTTCTGTAAACCTTCATCTAAAGTACAATAAAAAATTTTAAGAAAAAGAATATATTAATGTATTTGACTTGTATCTGGGAGAAAAAAAAAAAAAGCTCTCATCCTTCTAATACCCCCTTCCTTTTAAAAGAGCAGTCTACACTCACCACCTGTTTGCATCTGCCTGGGTCAGGCCCTGTCCACTTTCACTTCCTCCTGCCAAGTGTTCAGAGGCAATGAGTTGACCATGGGGCTCAGGGCTGCAGAGATGGGCTCAGAGCAGAGCTGGCCTCCAACCACGTGGGCTGGACAGAGTTTGAAAATGTCAGATGTTTGGTTTGGATTTCAATTGTTCTAAAAAGATCTTTTCTGGCAAGACCTGCATTTGGGGTGAGGATAAAAGAGGCCTGGGGGAAATGACAGGGTTCAGAGGTCATGAGGAACCATCCAGTCCTGCAGCAAAGCCTCAGAAAGAACCCCAGAGTTCAAATGGTGCCAGCCCAGTAGGGTAGCGGTTGCAAGGAAGGAAGAGGAAGGAAGAAGAAAGAAGCAGGTGATGTGAATCAGGGTGGTCTTAAGTTTCCCCAACAGCTACCCATTGCAGTGTTAAAAATCTGATGTCCTCGTTCTTTTTCTATCTCCTTCTATTACATAGCTGTGGAATGAGGCTGGGTAGAAATAAACAACAAATGAAAATGCTGACATTACATGAAATGAAGCAGCCCTGGTGGTGCGATGGTTAAGTACTGGGCTGCTAACCCAGCCAGTGGCGCTGTTGGAGAAAGACCTGGCGATCTGCTCCTATAAAGAGTACAGCCTAGAAAACCCTGTGGGGTAATTCTACTGTATCACACGGGTGGCTATGAGCTGAACTTGAAGGCACCCAAGATAAACAGCAATCAGAGATGAAGGACAGGGAGAGATGAAGACTAACCTGACGCTGAGGTCGCTGCCCCCACCTGCCATCTTCCGCTCCTGGCCCTGCTGAGCCATGGAGCCGGGCCTAGGGTCATGCCCAGTGAGGAAGTGAAGCACCAGCTCTAACTGCTCTCCTCAGCTCTGACAAGAAAGTCGACCAACAGCCCCGCCTTGCAGAAAAGAATTGCCTAACAGTATGACGTGACTGCACAGAGAAGCTTGCCCGCCCTCCCTCCCTCCAATCTCCAAGACGTTTCTCAGCCCCAGGGAGGAGGAGCAGGGCCCAGCTCCAAGAGTGCAAGGAAGACAGGGGACCATTTGTTCATGCAAAGGTTGAAGTTGTTTCTAGGTGAGGTGGCAAAGTTACACGGTGTTATGGATTGAATTGTGTCCCCTCAAAAGATATACTGACTCCTAACCCTGGTACCTGTGAGTGTGACTTTGTTTGGAAATAGGGCCTGTGAAGATGTTAATCAGTGAAGTTAACAGGAGGTCATGCTGGAGAAGGGAGGGTCCTAATCCAATAGCATGAGTGTCCTTGTAAAAAGAGAAGAGACACAGACGCACAGGGAGACCCCATGTGATGGTGGAATCAGAGATTAGAGTGATGCAGCTACAAGCCAAGGAATGCCAATGATCGCCGGCCATCGCCAGAAGCTAGGAGAGAGATGTGGAACTGAAAGGGGCTGCATGGAAATGTCACATTTATTGTTTATTGCCAGCAGTATAGGCCTAGCTTCCTGGGTATTGTGGTATTGTTAATGCCTAACTTGCATAGTTCACTTTTGCATGTTCCTATGATTTTGATTTATTTTCCTCCTATCCTCCCTCTTGCTTTCCCATGATTTTAAAGTTTAAGTTTACCCTAAGTTTCTCTTTGAGAGGTAGAACGACAAGTGCTGAACAAGGAAAAATCATCTTGTAGCCAAAACAAGGACAGCGTCAGAAGGCCAACATGTCTGGAAGGAGGCCAGTGTGCCCATCTCAAAGGGGGAGCTAACATTCCACTGATTCTTGGGACCCTGACCCTGTCCCGATAAAATCCTCTGATCGGCTTCCAATTACCACCATTGCTTCCCACCATTACTAGCCCCCGTTTTTCCTCATGATATTTTTTTTTGTTATTCTTTCTCCCTTCTCCTATTCCAGTAAGATTAACTAAAGTTTCTCAAGTTTCTCCTTGGAGGGTGGCAGAACAAATTGATAACCCTCAAGGACTAGGATTAACTCATCTGCAATGTGACAATTGTGACTAATGGTGCCAGATGACCTTCAAGGATTGCCAGTAAGAAGTTAGATCATCTGGGATGTGCAGAATGTAACCACGGGAAGAGAAACTATAATCCTGTCCATATAAAACCTTCAGCCAGTCTCCAGTGGGGGAGACACGTCTTTTGGAGGAGCTCATTCCCCTCTGTCTCCAGTATATTGATATACAATAAAACAGTCTTGCTGCTCACCTCACCCTTGTCTCAGTATTGGCTTTTGCGGCAGGCGGCTCAGACCCGTCACTGTGGTAACAGAAAAGATTCTCCCTCAGAGCCCTCAGAAGGAATCAACATGGCCGACAACTTGTTTCCAGACTCCCAGCCCCCAGAACTGTGAGACAATAAATTTCTGTTCTTATAAGCTACCCAATTTGTTCTTGTATTTGTTAGGACAGCCCTGGGACACTAACACATATGGGGAGGAAGTGCTCCATGTTGGCCCCTTCCCCTTGCCCACATGGTTGTGGGCAGGATAAGAGAAAACCACACTTTTCAAATCTGCTCTCAGGCCCGTGGGCTGCCCGGGCACATTGGTGAACCTCAATGGGCGAGTTAGGCCTCTGGCGCTCAGACATGGGGCTGGGGAGAGCCGAAATGCCTGCTTTATCAACCTGGGAGGATGTTCTTAGCTTTCTGGAAAGCAGCCAGGGAAGAAACAGAGAACTCTCCCAGCTAATGCAATCAAAGCAAGTGCCGAGTCTGGGCAGAGAAGTCTAATGTTCAATTTTAAGTTTTCATGCACACAGAGCCAGGTTACAACTGCAGCCAGGGGCGATTAAGAAAAAACTGAGTTTGGATATTTCCCTGAAATCTTCAAGAGGGCAATAGGCTTCTCACCAGATGGGGAAAGGGGTTGAACTGAGATTGTCCAGACCTTAAAGCACAGGGTGATCTGGTCAGCAGGCGTATTACACTTACGTTTGTATACTTTTTTTTCACTTATCCAGCCATCATTTTGCAAAGGATTTGAAGCAACTTACAAAAACACACTGTATCAGTACACGCATGAAAGATACAGAAATGGGAGCAAAGGGCGAATAAAGGGCGGGGGGGGGGGCATAAAACAGACCAAAAAACAAAAACCAAACCCTTTGCCATTGAGTTGATTCCAACTCATAGCAACCCCATAAGACAGAGTAGAACTGCCCCTTAGGGTTTCCAAGGAGATGCTGGTGGATTTGAACTGCCAACATTTTGGTTAGCAGCCAAGTTTTAACCACTGTGCCACCAGGGCTCCACAAACCAGAGAACGAGAAATCCAGACAGAACAATGTCTAAGACAATGAGGCGAATGGAATCCTGGGGATTTGTGGAATGCAGGGCTGACTACTGAGCAGGGGGCCGAAGCAGGTGAGGCCAGGAAGCTGGAAGCAAACCTTGCTCTGCAGAACAGTAGTCTCTGAAGTATGTTCCGCTGACCCCACGTCTGGCTGTTAATAGATGTGCAGGGAAGTTTGCATGAATAAGTTAGGAAAATACAGAGGGTAAGATGTTTCTATCCCTCTGCCTGCTTTACTCTTGCTTTTCCCCAGAAAGGAGGGAGCAGCAATCTGGTGGGAAGATGTCCCAGGACAAGGATGAGGACATCTTTGCCAGCGCAGGGCCCTGTGCTACCGTATGCTCACACAGGTGAATCTCTCTCTCTCTCTCTTACTGTCTCTCCTGCCCTGACCTGTCATTTGCGGGGCAGACAGGGCAGTAAACTGAGCCTCTCTTGGGCGAGGCTCTCCTCTGCCCAAGCCTCCATGGTTCATGGTGGCCCAGTAACAAGGTCTACCACCACGTAGTGCACCTGCCAGCTGTGGGCCAGCCTCATTCCTCTCCGCCCCAAGGCAGCACGGTGATCCAGGCTGTGCTGAGCTGGGCACTGCATAAATGTGCCAACTTCTCTTGCTTATAAGCACAGGTCTTGGGTGTTTCTCAGCTGACTGTTGGTAAGACTGTGCTGAAGGGGCCCTCCTGGGAGTTTGTGAGAAATCCTTTGCATTCTGCAGTGCTGTACAGAAAGGAGCGCTGAAGCCCCAGGCACTGTCTGCTCTGCTGCCGTCCTTACCTCTGTCCTCTGCCTTCCTCCATCACTGGTGACTTGCCTGTGGCTTCCAAGCCCCGGCATCCCCCACGTCCATGACCTGCTGGGGCAGGCTCCATTGCTGTGTCCTACACTCGGGTGTGAGGCGCTGTGGTCGTGCCTCCACGGGAGGCGTAGAAGGTCTCTCTCCCATGCAGGTTTGCCTGGTCTCAGGGCTGCTTTAACCCTAGAACCGCATTTCTGATCTTTCCTCTGAGGGCTTTGTGGGTGCCCTGGGAGGGGAACCCATGGGTCAAAGGCTTTTGATTTAAACAAAGTTAAACAAGTTTCTGTATTTTAGGAGTGCTCATACACCCTACCACGCCAATGCACATTAAAAGCCCAGCTGCCATAGAGTTGATTCCGACTCCTGGTGACCCCAGGTGTCAGAGTAGAGCTGCTCCGTAGGGTTTTCAATGGCTGGGTTTTGGGAAGTAGATCACCAGGACTTTCTTCTGAGGCACCTGGGGGTGGACTTGAACCTCCAACCTTTCAGTTAGCAGTCGAGCGTGTTAACCATTTTTACCACCAAAATCCTTAAAGGGGGCATGTGGAAGGAGGGTTTCCTGCTTCGTCTTGAGTTGCTGACTCCTGTCTTGTGTCTGGTCTAGAGTTCTCTCCGGGCCCCGGGTCTGCCTTGGATCCGGCTCCTGAACACTCCCTGGCTCCCAGCTGCCTGCCTGGTCCCCACCCGCTTTTCTGCTTAGAGGTCTGCCTACCTCTCTGCAGGATTTCTGTGGATATTCAGTCTTCCTTTCCCTTTTATTTCCATTTTCTCATGTAATAATTTTATCCTGACAAACTGTAAGTATTTTTGAGTCACCTCACATCCCGTTTGGGTTTGTATGTGTGTTTAAAATTCAGTTATTTCTAGTAAATTTATTCCCGTGTGTGACTATCACCACAATCCAGCTTCAGAACATTTCCATCACCCCAGAAAGTGCAGGATGAAGATTCGCCATGGGGAAATACAGGTGGGCGGGGACGCAGTCAGATGGGGTAATCCCAGCTCCCGTGAGCCTGGGGGCTGCACCACTGTGCCTCCTCCTCCTTAAGCTGGTCGCGATTGGCAGCCCCCCGCCCCGTGTCCCCAGCTCTCCCCAGGCACTGGGAGCCTCAGGAGCCACAGAGGAGGAGCCACAGTCCTGCTTTCAGCTTCCTGTTCTAGCTGCTCTGAACACTTTCACTTTATTTACTGGGAGCCTCGCTCCTGGCTGCCTGTTATAGCACAAACTTCCTGCTCCGTCCCCTGGCTTCTCCCTGAGTTCTCCCACCTGTCAGGGGTGATCCCCAGACCAGCCCGGAGCCCCGAGGGGCAGGAGCCGGCGGCCACCTCCATTCAGGTGGGTTTCGTCCCTGTTGCGTTCGTCTTCGTTCCCGGTGACTGGGCCTCTCAGTTTTTTTTTTGTGGGCTGTTGTGGGGGGGGTGTGCTCTGTGGACCGCGGGGGTCTCTGTGTAACAGTGTTTTTTCTAGAGGGGGAGAGGGGGCGTGTGGGCTCTGGGGCGTCTCTCAGAGGAGGAGCTGGGGGAAAGCGGAACCCTGGTGGCGTGGTGGTTAAGAGCTCCGCTACTAACCATAGGTTCGGCGTTTTGATTCCCCCGGCGTTTCTTTGGAACCCTGTTTGGGGGTTTTTCTTTTTTCTTTTGGGTTGGTTTTGGTTTTGTTTCGTTGGCACGGGTTTTGTTTTGGGGGGAGGCCGGGGGCCTTGTTGCGGCAAGGTTTTGTTCCTTTCCGGTTTTCGGCCCGGAAACTCTTTTGGGGCGTTTTTCTTCGTTCCCTTGGGTTGCTTGGGGCTTGAGGGCCCCTTACCCGGCCGGGGGGAGGCGGCCTTCCTTCCCAATTCTTGGCTTTTTCTTGGGGTTGGACCCTGGTTTTCCCTTCCCCCTTGGCCTTTGTTTTTGTTTTTGTTTTTTGCCCCCAGGGGCAGCTCATTCCTGAGTCAATGTGCTCCTGGTTGGAGGTGGTGGGAATTGGGTGGAAACGAGAAAACAAGGAGGGTACGTTTAATTTCTTCTCTGGTGTGTCGTGAAATTGTTGTATATTTTCTTTAAGCACATTCATAATTATTTCCTTGAAATAAATTTCTAGAAGTGGATATTGGGCTACCAGGGGACACATATTTTAGTGCATTTGACACAGATTACTAAATCAACCTACAGAACACTGAGACCTGTTTGCATGTACATCAACAGTGTCTAAGGTTATTGTTATAATTTTCTGTCTTGGCTAGTTTGATAGGCAAATGTGTTGTCAAATTGCTTTCCCACTTTTCTGACTACTGGTGAGTTAACATGCTTTTCGTGTGTTTATTTTGCACGTGACTTATTTGTTTATTAATAGTCTGATTATATCTTTTGCCTTTTTTCTGCGTGGTTATTTGTGTTTTTCTTATTGATTTGTAAGAGTTCTTTACATAAGAAAGATCTGAACATTGTCATATATGAGATGCAGCATTGGGCACTAGTGAGAAATAGGTCTGTAGAGTCAGACAAACCCTGTTTTGCCACTGAACACCTTGGGCAAGTTACTTCACCTGTCTGTGCCTCGGTTTCATCCTTGGGAATTATAATAGTGCCTATTTCAAGTGAGTGGGGCCGTGGTGGTTCAGTGGTAGTGTTCTTGAATTCCATGTGGTTGAGCCTGGTGGAGTGCCAGCCAGTGCACCTCGTGAGCAGCCCCCACTCATCTGTCAGTGGAGGCTAGCATGATGCTAGGATGCTGAACAGGTTTCAGCGGAGCTTCCAGTCTGAGACGAACTAGCAAGAAAGGCCTGGCAACTTACTTCTGAAATCAGCCAATGAAAACCATATGGATCACAACTGTTCGATTTGCAACTGATCATGGGAATGACGCAGGACTGGGCAGCGTTTTTTCTGTTGCTCATGGGGTCACCCTGAGTCGGGGCGGACTCAGTGGCAGCTAACAACAACAACATTTCAAGCAAGGCAGCATGTGACGTACTTAGCGAGCGGGCAGGCATGGGGTGAGCTTGCAATAAGTATTAGCTGTTATTATTATCAGTATTATTATGAATGCTGCAGATAGCTGTTTTCGGCGTTTTCCCTCCTATATTCAGAAATTTTGTGTAGTAAAATCTATCAATCTTTTCTTCCCATCATATCTGCTTATGGTGTCATATTTAGAAAGTCCCAGTGATGATATAAATGTTCTCCTGATCTTTCTACGTATGGAACTTTAATCTAGCTGGAATTTATTGTTGTTTATAGAATGAGGTCAGGATCTCGCGTGACTTTCCCCCCACATTATAGCCAAGGATCCCAACATCACTGCTGAACAATTCTTTCTCTTCTGATCTGAGATTTCTCCTTTATCATGCACAAATTTTGTGTTTATATGTATATTTACATAGAGACACACACACGTATTAAATGTGTGTCTGTTTTCTACTCATGTCTATTCATATCTCCCTGTTGGTAAGTTAGAACTGTGTTGTTTAATTACTGTAGCTTTATAATACTGTTTGGAGTCCCTGGGTGGTGCAAACAGTTAATGCGCTCACTGCTAACTGTAAGGTTGCCAGTTCCAGTTCATCTAGAGGTGACTTGGAAGAAAGTCCTGGTGATCTACTTCCAAAAAATCAACCATTGAAAACTGTGGAGCACAGTTCTAATCCAACACGCATGGGGCCGCCGTGAGTCAGAATCCACTTGACAGCAACTAATACCTTTTAGGATATGTTAGGGCAAAGCCTTCTTCATTATCCTTCTTTTTCTAATTCTTCATTTCTTAAATAGAAAATGTATTCTTCCAGAGGAACTTTAGAATCTACAACCAAAGGGTTGCCAGGCTTCACCAGGCTGCAGCCACAATTTAAACCAATTTAACAACAATAATTCAAGGATCTGTTCTGGACATGACCTTTCCCACCAGGGCTTTCAGAACCTTTGCAAGCCCCCGAGGAGTCCTATACATTCTCATTGCTCTTCTTCTTAAAGCATGTTCTTGCTACTATCACACAAAGTCTCTTCCAGGTGAAGTTAGAGTCGGCTTTCCTTCGGAGTACATGTGGTATACCCCTGGACGTGTCGAAAGGAGGAGGTTCTCCCTCCAGTTCCTAGGGTGTCCATGAAGGGGTTTTCCCATCTTCCCATGAAGGCATTTTGCTGTGCTTGAAGCTCCTGGTCCTCCTTCCTCTGTGGTGCTGCTTCTCCAGTGTCTTGCAGATCCTTGCTCTACATTCATGCTTGTGAGAGGAGCCTGGGCGGATTAGCGTAGAAGGCTGGCATGGGTTGGGAGGAGTGGCCTAAGTCTGCTTTCCCAAAAGGCCCTCCTCCTGAATACAAGCATCGGCTTAGGGTTCCAAGGACAAACGGGCTGGTCCCACTCTCGTGCTTCACTTAAGATGGGGCTTCTTAACCTTTTTTGTGTCATGCACGCTCTCCACAGTCTAGTGAAGGCTATGGATCCCTTCTCAGAAAAAAAATGCTTTTAAATGCATAATCAAAATACATAGGGTTACAAAGGAAAACAATTATATTGAGATACAGTTATCAAAATATTAAAATATACTTCTTGATCAACACATCAAACAAGATGTAGCGATGGGTCTAATAACTACTGGAATTTCGAAGTGGTGATGAACATCAATGCAATTACAAGGTACCTGCAATATCTGCAATGTGCTATGAAAATATCTGTGCCTTAACGGTAACAAAGTCACTAGTACTGCTGATATTTCTGTGGTTTGTTGCCTACATTCATAATTGAAAGAACTACGCCATTTTAGTTTGAGGCTAGTGAAATTAAGAAAATATCCTGGTTCATGAATACCTTGAACTCTATGGACCTCTGCTTTAGGGTGTGGGGACTTGGAACATTCTGGCAGCTGCGGCCCCTCTGCAACCACCGAAATGAAGATGGCACCACCCGATGGCTTTCCTCCAGGGCAGGAGGTGGCGGGTGGGCATCAGAGCACATGTCCCAGTCCTTTGTACAACCTCTTGTGTCTGTTTGAGAGATCTGCATTTCCTCAAGTTCTGCCTCCCTTTTTTCTGCTTTTTTTTTGTTCTGGTTTTTTTTTAAGTGTGGAAAAATATAGGTAACACCGAATTCCCCATTTAACCATTTTCTGAGTGCACAGTTCAATCGTATTAATTACATTCACGATGTTATGCCACCATCGTCACTATTTATTTACTAAAGTTTTCATCACCCCAAACAGTAACTCTGTGCCTTTTAGGAGTGACTCCCCTTTCCCCGCTCCTCCCAGGCGCTGGTAACCACTAATCTGTGCTCTGTTGCTATGCATTTGCCTTTTCTAGAGATTTCATGTAAGCGGGATCATACAGTGTTTGTCTTTTTGTGTCTGGCTGATTTCACTCAGCAGAATGTTTTCAAGGTTCATCCACACCGTAGAATGTATCAGAAGTTTATTCCTTTTTATAGCTGAATAATATTCCATTGTATATGTAGACCACGTTTTGCTCAGCCGTTCCTGTGTTAATGGACGCTTGGGTCGCTGCCACCTTTTGGCTATCATGAATAAGGCTGCAGTGAACACTGTTGTACAAGTATGTGTTTGAGTCCCTGCTTTCCTTTCTCTTGGGAGTGGAATTGTTGGATCACATGGTCATTTTGGAGCCCTGGTGGCACAGTGTTGGAGAGCTCGGCTGCTAACCAAAAGGTCGGCAGTTCTAATCTACCAGCTGCTCCTTAGAAACTCTGTGGGGCAATTCTACTCTGTCTGTAGGGTCACTATGAGTCTGAAAACAGTCGACGGCAACAGAATGGTAATCTTATGCTTAACTTTATGAGGAATCTCTGCAATACTTTTTCTTAGAACCCTACACCCCCACCACGAGGCTCGCTCAGGCAGGGAGATGACTTGAAGTATTCTCAGCTTTTATGCTGGGGCCAAGTATCACTGCCTCCGCTATTGGGTATGAACAGGTGAAGCATAAAGAACCTGGCGGATGTCCTGCTTTAAATGCTGTTGTATAATTAACCATCCTAAACTTAACCCCAGGCCCCTTCCTCTTAGCATGCGTTCATTCTGAGCTCAGAGTTCCTTTGGCTCTGCGCTTACCTCTGCAGTATCTTCCCCCCGGGCGTATTGTAGATGGTACATTTCTCTCCCATCTGTTCTCTATCTTCCAGGAGTTTCTCACAATTTGTAAATCTCTGATGGCATCTTGTCTTGTTTTCCGGTACTGTTGTGGATTATTTTTTTTTTACTGTATATATATATAGATATATTTATTGTTAAACGTTAAGACTTTGAGAATGAGGGGAGAGAGACAGGGTTGCTCAATCTGTTGCTGGGATCCTATCTCTGTAATTAGTCATTAATTCCAGTTTTAATTTTCTATTTGACACAAAATGCATTTGTAGAAATGGGATCCATGTCTGTTTTGTTTTGTAAAAATCTCTAAGTGGTTGAATTTTTTGTTCGTCCTTGCCTTTTCTTAGGCGTTTGTCAGAGAACATCAGCGATGAATTTTATGCCTATTAAAACTTCCTGATATCTTCTTGTAACCTATTAATTGTCAGTTTGCATGCATGCTGCACGAGCATGGGAAGAGGCACACGGTCTGTTTTGGGATGCGAAACTGATACAGAATATAAACCAGTTATGTTTCCTTTACTAACCTGTTGGCCACGTCGTTTATGGTTTTATTTATGTTTGCTTAATTGTGTGTCAAAGATCGCAGGTGGTTTATTAAAGTGTCTAGATATGACCAGGGTTCTGTCTTTCTAACCTTTTTTAGGCAGTGTCTATTTCATAAGCATTGTTACTGTATTCTTTATATTGTAGTCCAAGGAGATGCGGCGAGTCCAGCTCAATGTGTCCATACTGCATATACTTGTGAATATAAGCCCAGAACCAGAAAGTTGGAATTTGTTCCCAATTCTACCACTTCCAAGTTGTGCAACACTGGACAAGTTATTAAATCTATGTCTCCATTTCCCCAACAATAAAGTGGGTGTGATAATAGTGACCATCTCTCAAGGGTTTTTTGTAGATCAAATAAGTTAATGCATGTGAAACCCTTAGAACAAAGCCTGGCATGCCGGAAGCGCTCAATAAATATTAGCTATTTTTAATATCCCACCACCTGTTTGTCAGTTATACTGCGGTGGCTTGCGTGTTGCTGTGATGCTGGAATTTCTGCCAACTATCTTTCAAATACCAGCAGGGTCACCCATGGTGGATCGGTTTCACCAGAGCTTCCTGATTAAGACAGACTAGGAAGGAAGGCCTGGTGATGTATTTCTGAAAATTCACTAATGAAAACGTTGTGGAACAGAACAGAATATTGTCCAGCTGAGCTAAACATGCCAACAATTGTGAAGATGGTGCAAGACTGAGCAATGTTTTGTTCCGTTGTACACGGGGTCACTGTGAGTTGGAGCCAAATTGACAGCAATTAACAACAACAAAATTTTAATATTTTCCTTATGTTTACCAGCAGCCCTTTGGAATTTTGCAGTCATCTTGTAGGTCACTGTCAGAACCATAGTTGTTCAGAGTTGTCATTGTTTCCTACATCCACGAGTCTTTTAGGCAGACACTACTTTGGGGACTGCTAAGGGATGCATTTGGGACCAGCATGCCTCTCTTTAGATGCCCATTTAATGCAGAGAGCAGCTCCCAAGCTCTTCGGAGTCTTTGTTCCTCTTTCCACATTGTGCCTCTTTCCACAGGATGTTCACCGTGACCAGGGCCTTGGAAGAGACCCTTCGTCAGCACTTCATATACCAGAAGCTGGAGATTGCCTATGCCATACACAAGCCATTTCCCTTCTTCGAAGGCCTCCGAGACAAGTACTTCATCACTGAGAAAATGTACGAGGTGAGTGATGTTGACCACTTCCCCAGCCCTCATCAAGTATGCCCCAATATCAAGATCTCCAATCACAAACCACCAGGGCTTCTGGACTTTGGAAGGCCCAACCCCGGCACGTTCATCATCACAGAAGATGGGGATGGCTGGGAGAGACAGTGTCAGAGGGTCCATCCCAACTCCCAATTCCCGACTGAAGAGTTTGTCAGCCATAGTCAATTCTGATGTAAGACAAGGCGGGTGCTGGGAGGTATGGTTCTGTGGACCAAAATGACACTCTGTCCATATAATTGTGGGGTTTTAAAGCATTTCCTGAGCCCCAGGCCCAGGGAAGTGCTAGCACTGATTGAAGGATCTAACCTTAGCCTGTGTCTTAGTCATCTAGTGCTGCTATAACATAAATACCACAAGTGGATGGCTTTAACAAAGAGAAATTTGTTTCTTCACAGCAAGGTATGCTGAAAGTCCAAATTCAGGGCGTCAGCTCCAGGGGAAGGCTTTCTCTCTCTGTCAGCCTTCTCATTGGTGTTCTCCTGGACTAGGAGCTTCTCCACGTAGGGACCCCAGGTCCAAAGGATGCGCTCTGCTCTTGGCACTGCTTTCTTGGTGGTATGAGGTCCCCATGTTTCTCTGCTCACTTCTCTCTTTTATATCTCAAGAGGTTGCCTCAGGACACAATATCTTGTAGATTAAATCCTGCCTCACTAACACAATTGCCGCCCATCCTCCCTCATTAACATCATAGAGGCAAGATTTACAACATACAGGAAAATCACACAATCCTGGGAATCATGGCGCAGCCAAACTGATACACACATTTTCTGGGGGGACATAATTCAATCCATGACAGCCTGGTTAGCTCCAACTCCCTTTTCAGGTCAAACGCCACTCCTCCAAGGGACCTCCTTGACCTATCCATCTCATTAAGACCCCCTGGTTTTCTCTCTCACAGAATCTATGCTTTCCCTCTACAACACTTCTCACAATTAGTAGTTGGGTAGTTATTTGTGTTTGCTGTTTAATGCCCATCTTCTCAGCTGACAGTGCCCCATGTGGGCAGCACCATGTTGATCTTACCACTGCAGTGTACCCAAGGACTAGCTCACTGAGCCTAGTAGGTGTCAGTAAATATTTTTCAATCAATTCTCACCTGCCTTGCTTTTCATTTTGGCCATGTTCTCAGCAAGAGGTTTCCTGATGGTGTACCTGTGACTGGAACTCATTCAGGCCAACCCAAGTCCAAGAGAGAACAGAGGCTAAGGAGCAATCAACAGAATTGCCGCTTGTAACCAACTGTTACTTCCATTGCTGAAGCATCCTGACCAAAGCCTTAAAGAAATAATTATATAGTAGCTTACTTTGAATGTCCCTGGGTGGTGCAAACAGTTAGCACATTTGGCTGCTAATTGAAACCTTGCAGGTTCAAGTTGACCCAGAGGTACCTCAGAAGAAAGTCCTGGTGATCTACTTCCAAAAAATCAGCCATTAAAAAACCACATGGAGCACAGTTCTACTCTGACACACATGGGGTCACCATGAGCTGGAGTCGACTCAATGGCAACTGGTTAGCTTACTTTGACACCACTTTCCTTCCTTAAAATTTCTCTCGTTCCTCAAATGTTCCTGAAAATAAGGTTCACAAAACAGACTTACTTTTCAAGAAGGCTGAATTGTTTATTCCTGAGAGACTAGCCACCCAAATATATGAGAATCTCCAAAAGTAAATATGTAGACCTGTGACCTTTGAGAATTTGTCTATATTTTTTGTTTTTACTTATTTTTTTATTTTGTTTTTGTTATTCTTGAGAATATACACATACACCAATTCAACAATTTCTACATGTACAATTCATTGACAGTGATTACATTCTTCAGGCTGTGCAACCATTCTCGCCCTCCTTTTCTGAGTTGTTTCTCCCCCATTAGCATAAACTCACTGCCCCTAAGGTTCCTATCTAATCTTTCGAGTTGCTGTTGTCAGTTTGATCCCATACAGATAGTTCTTAAAATAGTATAATGTTCAAGGCAGATTTTCTTTTTACTAGTTAAGCTAAACTGTTATTTGTCTTAAGAAGACTTCAGGGGATATTTTTGGTTTAAGACTTAAAGATTTTTTCAGGACAAGAGTTTCATCTGACTTCCACGGTTCCATAAAGTCTGGAGTCTATTAGAATTTGAAATTATGTTCTGCATTTTCCCCCTTTTGATTAGGATTCTTCTATAAAATCTTTGATCAGAAGGTTCAGTAGTGGTAGCCGGGCACCATCCAGTTCTTCTGGTATGATGGCAAAGGACGCAGTTGTTCATGGAGGCAATTAGTCACACATTCTATATCCTCCTCCTCCTCCTGACTCTCCTTCTTCCTCAGTTGCTTCAGGCAAATAGAGACCAATTGTTGTGCCTCGGATGGCCACTAGCAAGCTTTTAAGACCCTAGGCGCTACACAGTGAACTTGGAGGTAGAACAGAAGCCTTAAACATGTTATTAGACCAATTAACTGGGATGACCCTAAACCTCCAAACCAGGGAACCAAATCCCAGGAGCTGTTTGGTTGTACATAAGCAGCCTCAGGAGCTACTCTTTTTTTTTTTTAAATGTTAAATGTTCCTTCTTAAGAGAGTGAAATAGCTTTCTGACGACTTAGAAAACCATAAATGTATAATTCCCCTCCATTCAATTTTGCAACTGTTTACAATAATCCTTCATTCCATTTCTTAAGGAATCTCTGGAAGCCTGTCAGAACTTGGTCCCTGTATCCAGAGTGGTGCACAACATCCTCACCAAACTGGAGAGAACGTTTGACCTGTCGTTTCTGGTGGTGTTGTTCAGCCCAATTAACCTGCGCGAATACCCCAATCTAATGACTATTCTCAGGAGCTTCAGAAGGGGTAATGAGGTTTCTTGAATACTTTCGGGGCTGTAGAAGCATGCAAGAAATTGCTATGTGAAAAGTTTGGTTTGTTTTCAGCTTGGTGGAATATGCACTTCAGTTTCCAGCTCTCTTTGGGAAGTTATGGGCCATACTCTCTCAGGGTCACGGCAGGAGGTGCAGCCCCTGATAACGACATGGATGGGGATGAATAATACTAAGTATCGTTTCTTTGAGTGCTTACTATGTGCCACACATTATCCCAGGCACTGCAGATGGTTATCATGTGTCATCTTTTAAAGAATCCTATAAAGTCGTCACTATCCCCGTTTTACAGATAAGGAAATTAAAGCCCAGAGTAACTTCCCCAGAGTTACTTGCCTGCTAGGAGGCGGAGCCAGGAATCATGATCAGGTCTCCCAATGCCAGAGCCCAAGGTTTTGACCACTCTCCGAAACAAGGACAAGCTGGAAGCCAGATTGTAAAGCTGAAGCGGGGAAGACAGGAAGCTGAAGAGGAAGAGAAGGGACATAGAGACAGAAAAGAGGGCATGAGAAAGAAATAGAGCGTGAAGTGCAGTGAGTCCATCAAGAAAGAGCTAGATAAATAAGGGAGTAGAAAAAAGCGTAATGGCAGAGCTGGGAAGAAAGAAGCAAGGGCAAGAAAGAAATTATTTTACGTTTGAAGAAAAACACTTTGGCCAAAACTCATGATTCACTTATCTGAGAACAACAGGGGAAGGACCACCAGAAATCAATGGATGGTGACATTTTCCTTAGTGGAGTCACCATGTTGATAACGCTTCATCTGTTCAGTGACACGTCACCATTCCTTGAGCTAAAGGGGCAGCAAAAGAGAAAAAGTCAGCCTCCAAGCAGGTGGAAGAGAAAGTGGCCTTGTTCTCCTGGCAGCATTGGGGCAGTGACAGGAGAAACTTGGACCTAAAGGCTGTGCTAAGCAGGTCTGTGAGCCAGAGGGACCCACGAACTGGATGTGTCCATGGCCTGGCTGAACTCAAGTATCTTCCTACGTCTGCAACTCTGTGATAGATTGTTCTGTTGGGTCGTTTGCTCAAATCTGACTTTACGTTCCCTTTTCTGCTTGCTAGTTGGGACAACTTTCCCTCTTGAATAAATGATGGAGAGAATCATAAGAGAAACCCGGCATTGGCTTTGCAGGGGAACATCATGCAGAAAACCAAGGGCCTAGGGTACTGGGGATAGGGGAGAAGTTTGGTGTGGCCAATTATAGGGTATAAGGAGGGAGCCACAATCTGCAGAGATGAACAGAAACAGAATATAAAAGTTCTAATGTGCCATGCTAAAGAATTTGGATTTTATCCTCTTTACCCCAGGGAAGGAAACCCTGGTTGCATAAGTGGTTAAGAGTTTGGCTGCTAACCAAAAGGTTGGCAGTTCGAATCCACCAGGAATTCCCTAGAAACCCTATGAGGTAGTTCTACTTTGTCCTGTAGGGTCACTATTAGTCGGAATTGCCTTCACAGTAGTGGGTTTAGCTGTTCTGGTACTTCAGAGAAGTGTCATGTGTTTATTTATTAAAAGAGACCTGTATTAAAATGATTGCATGTACAGTAATTATCTAATTTCTATCTATGAAAACTAAGTTAAAGAATAAAATAAAATTAATTCCTGGGTACACAGTCAAATTCAGCTTTATATATGAAACCACTTTGGCATTAATTCAGGTGTTCAGTGCAATGATGTTGCTGTTGTTAGGTGCCATTGAGTCGGTTCTGACTCATAGTGACCCTATGGAAACAGAACAAAACACTGCCCGGTCCTGCATCATCTTCACAATTGTTATGCTTGAGCCCATTGTTGCAGCCACTATGCCAATCCATCTCATTGAAGGTCTTCCTCTTTTTTGCTGACCCTCTACTTTACCAAGCATGATGTCCTTCTCCAGGGACTGGTCTTTCCTGATGACATGTCCGAAGTATGTGAGACAAAGTCTCACTATCCTTGCTTCTAAGTGCAGTTATAATAAATTGAATACCCAAATAAAATAAATAAAATAGAAAGGGGCCACAGACAGACCAATGACAGGGAGGAATCCAGTTCTATGTAACTCGGGGAGGGAGAAGGAATGACTCCATGCCCCCACCCCACTGAAAGTCATGTATGAAGAATTCCCATTCTCCAAATACGTAATTCTGAGTGTTCGGGGTGCTGATATGTGCTCATTCACTAATCCCAGTTGGCGATGCCTGCGGAGGGTGGAGCAGAGCCATGCCAGTCCTATCCCCAGCCCCAGCCGACCCAGCAGAAGGGAGCTCCAATGTCCAACCTGCACACCAGGACCTGCTGCCATGGCCGCCACTCCTACACACACTGCCCAACCGTCCGCCTTGTGCACCAAGGGTTCACCAGCCTGAGGCATCCACACAGCAAAGCAGTGAGATCCTGGGTGAACCGCTAAGCCCTTCTGGCCCTGCCGTGGCTCTCCCTGAATTCATCCAGGAAGGAAGGGTCACTCCAGGTGAGAGAAAGACAATGTCCAACACCTGTGTCTCCCCAACCTAGAGTGCCCAGGCACCCAGGGTCCTGTCCTTTTCTTGGTCTGCTCCTTTCCATGCACCCACCTACCCATATACAGCCCTTTCTAGAAGGATTCTGCTCACTCCAGGGGTCCAGGTGAGGCCAGAACCCCTAACAGCTGCTTCCCACCTGCAGGAGCTTCCCAGGGCTGCTGTAACCCAGTAATACAAAGTGGGTGGCTTAAAATAACAGAAATTGGTTCTCTCACAGTTCTGGATGTGAGAAGTCCAAATTCAGGGAGTCTGCAGGGCGATGCTCTCTCTGAAGGCTCTAGAGGAAGAGCTTTCCTTGTCTCTTCCAGCATCTGGTAGCCACAGGAGTTCCTTGGTGTGTAGATATATCACTCAAATCTCTGGTTCGGTCTTCACATGACCATCTTCACTCGGTTTGTGTCTCTGTGTCTCTTCTCTTTTTATAAAGACACTAGTCATGTTGGTTTAAGCACCACCCTACTCCAGTATGCCCTCATGTTAACTAATTACATCTGCAAAGAACCTATTCCCAAATAAGTTCGCATTCACAGGTACAGAGGGTAGGACTTCAACATTCCCACCCATAACTGCAGTCCTAGATCATACCAACCCTCTGCCCTTGGGTCTTGGAGCTCCCTCTACCCTGGACATTTTATGTTCACTCTCTCTCTGGCCCCAAGTCCCTGTGACCCGCAATTATTTTTCTTCCTCTCTTCAGTGTTCCATGACAACTTAACATCCAAAACAAATGAAAAAGACTCAGAAGAGATGCCCAGTCGTCTGCCTGGCCCTGTGCAAGGTAATGTTGATCGGAATGACCTAACCTCACTGAAGGTGACTTTGAAGGAAGAGCTCACACTTGCCAACCCAGAGGCTTGTGGCAAGAACCCGGGAAAGAGAACCAAGTATAAAAAGGGAAAGAAACAAAGAGGGGAACTGATTCACCAACCCAGTGTAAGACGGATTATCAGGGACACTCTGCCACAGCCAGTTTGATACTGTGATGTCCAAACCACCAGTTACCATGGAGTTGATTCCAAATCATGTCAACCTCACATATGTCTGAGTAAAACTGCTCCATAGGGTTTTCAGTGGCTATTTTTCAGAAGTAGATCTCCAGGCCCTTCTTTCAAGACAGTTTTGGGTGGTCTCGAACCTCCAACCTTTCAGTTAGCAGCCAAGTGCATTAACCATTTGCACCAGCTGAGGGCTACAATGTACAAAAAATCCAATCAAAATGCAAAACAAACCAATGATCAAAAAACCCTGTTCTGAATTGACACGTAACTTGTGCAACGTGCCATCCATGGCCCTTACCTGATACGTTGCTCCTACTTGACTATGGGGGGGCTTTCAGTTTCAACCTTATTATTTTTACATGGCTTGGATTCTATTGAAATGCGGTCAGTTTGCATTATTCACGGATTTCGTATTTGTGAATTCACCGACTAGCTAACATTTATTTGTAACCCCCCAAATCAACACTTGCAGTGATTTTGCTGACATTCACGGCGATATGCAGAGCAGCTAAAATTTTGAGTTGCCCAATGCACACATTCCCAGGTGAGGTTGAACAAGGCTGATTCGGCTAATTCAGTGTTCATAGGGACTTTATAGAACTTTACGGCAGTTAACAAGCATCAATATAATGAGAATTAGAAAAGACAACATTTTTAAAGGTCTCCTGGAGCTGAATTAGCTTCTAAGATTGTGTCACTTGTCCCCCCACCCCCAAATCTTCATTATAAAAGATTTTGATTACCATATATATAGCATTTGTATGTTACTAGGTGCTGTCTTTGTGATTCCATCCCAAATGATCCCGCCATACTGCATGATAATTCTGCCTCATGCTTGTCCCTACTTTCTGCAATGATCCTTTCAAACACATTCTCTTTTTCTCAACAGATGATTTTGCCTCCTTCTTCTTAGAGAAAAGCATTAGATGGCATCATGGATTGGAACTGAGTCCCCCAAAAATATCTGTCAACATGACTAGGTCATGAGACCCTGTATTGTATGATTGTCCACCATTTTGTTATCTGATGTGATTTTCCTATGTTTTGTAAATCCTACCTCTATGACGTTAAAGAAGCAGGATTAGAGGGAGTTATGTTAATTAGGTAGGACTCAATCTACAAGATTAAGTTGTGTCTTAAGTCAATCTCTTTTGAGATATAAAAGAGAGAAGCCAGCAGAGAGACAGGGGGACCTCATACCACCATGAAACAAGAGCCAGGGGAATAGTGAGTCCTTTGGACCCAGGGTCCCTGCACTGAGAAGCTCCTGGACCAGGGAAGATTGATGATAAGGACCTTCCCCTAGAGCCAACAGAGAGAAAGGCTTCCCCCTGGAGCTGGCACCCTGAATTTGGACTTCCAGCCTTCTAGACTGTAAGAGAATAAATTTCTCTTTGTTAAAGCCATCTACTTGTAGTATTTCTGTTATAGCAGCAACAGATAACTAAAACAGATGGTAATCCCCTCACTTCCTGCTGCCAACCTTGTGAACCCTAACTGCATCTGCCCCCATCCTCTTCAGGCTCTCCTCTCTAAGGCAATCCTTCCACCTCGCCTTTCAGTGTGATCATGCCTTCGCTATCCTGAATATTCAGCATCTCCCTATCTCCCTCTCACAAGGATCTTCACCCAGCCAATGCTCAAGCCCCCTCACCCCCATCTCATAAAAGGAACTTTCCCTTGATCCTCATCTCACTTCAGCTGCTTCCATGGCGCTCTCAACCGGGCTTCTAGAAATAAGCTATTTAAGCTAATTGTTGCCATTTCCCCTCTCCCCTCTCTCCCCTGCCATCTCAAGAGTTTCTTCTTTCTCCATGAAATGGCATTACCTAAGGTCACTAACAACCTCCCAGCCACTGGAGTTTGAAACCAACTGAAAATCGTTGACATGTAAGGTTGGCAGATCTATGTATATATAAAACGTTATCTTTATCAATTTCTTTTTAAGGAAAGAAAAGAAAAATAAGTGGCCGATCAACTCCAAAAAAGAGACATGAGGACAAAAGCTTCCCAAGAGGTAAGATGAGGGTACAAGTGGAGGCTAGAAACAGCTCATGCAGGGCCTCGTAGGTCACGGTGTGGGGGTTGGATTTCATACTAAATACATGGGAAGCCATTGAAGGGGCCTAGCAGTGAAGTGACATGATCCAACAAGTTTTGCCTCTGTGTAAAGAGTTAGGGAAGCATGGAGGTGACCTTTTGGGGGGCAGATGACTCAAGAGATGATAGTTCCCTGGATTCTGGTATTTCCTGATAGGGTGGGGGCTGGAGAAGTAAGAAGGGCGATCACTACTGTGGGAGGAGGTCACTAAAGGGCAGTTCAGTTGGCTAGTCAAAGGTCATGACAAGAGCCGAAAAGACAAAGACTAAATGTGCCCAAATGCCTGAGTCAAAGGGTAAGGCTGATGCCAGAATCTGCCACTAGAATGGCTCAGTGTAGGAGGCTTACTCATGGAGTGGGCACAGGGTGAGGGAAATGCAGAAAGTAATAGTACAAGGAGGGAGATGTGCAGAGAAAGAAGGTGAGGTGAGACAAGAGGGACAGAGAGAGCAAGGACCCGTGGGTCTGAGGGTAGTGGTCAGAAGAAGTAAACGTATCCTCAGGGTACAGTTCACCTCTGCTGTGGCCACGTGGATTCACATGACCACTTCCCAATGTCCACTGTTCGTTTCCATCAGTAGAGTGACCACTGCTGATGGGCCTTGTCTCCCCTTCCACTGAGTCTGGAAGGCTCCTCTCTGATCTGGGCAGGCCCAGTGGCTCCAATCCTCAGGGCAGACATGTTCTTGGGGTTTTTTTTTTTTCCTAATGGCTCACTTCTAGAAGTGAATGCTTGGCCAAAGAGTCTATATATTGAGAATTAACACATATTGTAAAATTTCCCAAACTGTTCACCAAATATTCCAGTGCCCTATCACCCCTTTCCCCTACTGAGGGTTACACATCCCTGTCCTGTTGACTCAGGAATGGCCGTGGAACGTGGCCAAAAAAATATGACAGAAGCAAAGGGTCACTTCCAGGCCAACCCTTTAGGAGACCATGTCAACCAGCAACTGAGACCACAATGTCCTAGACAGAGGCTGCTCTGCCAGGCTGGAACCATGAGTGTTGATGACAGGGGACTGAGACTCATCTAACTTGTGATGAACAAGTAGCATGAGAGAGATGTAAACCTTTGTTGTTCTAAACCAGGGCTCAGTAATCTTTTTCTGTAAAGATTCAGATAATAAAGATTTTAGGTTTTGGGGGCAATACACTATGTGGTAACTACCCACCTCTACTGTTGTAGCATGTAAGCAGCCAGAGACAACACGTAAACAAATGAACTTGGCTTGTTCCAATAAAACTTTATTTATAAAAACAAGTGAGGAACCCAGTTTGGCCTACAAGCCATCATTTGCTAACACCTGTAGTAGACCACTGAGATTTGGGAAGGTCATAATTTAACGTAGTATTACCTAGCCTACTTTGACTAATATTTTAAAGGTAAGTTTTTTAATAGATTTGTTATTTGAATTTTTTCCTTTTGAGGATCACCTGTTTGTATTTGCCCATTTTAAAATGGGACTTTAAAAAAACTGTTAGGGAAGTCAATCTTTTGTTATGCTTATCACAATTTCTCTCATTTTGTTTTTGTCTTTTAGCTAAGTTGAGAAGCTTTTGGTAGTGGAGAAAGTTTTCATTTTGAGATAGTCAAACCAGTTTATCTTTTCCAGTATAGTTTATGCCAGGATTTCTCAACCTTGGCACTATGGACGCTTTGGGCTGGATGCTATTTTGTGTGGGGACTGTCCCACGTATCTGTAGAATGTTTAGCAGCATCCTTGTCCTCTACTCACTAGCAGCCAGTAATACTCCCCAGCTGTGACAACCAGTGCTATGTCCACGCATTGCCAAATGTCCCCTGGGGGGAGCAAAATCGCCCATCGTTGAGAACCACTTCTTTGTGCCTTATACTTAGTCCTTTAAAAGTCTCTTCTATGCAATATTTATGGAGCCCTGGTGGTGCAATGGTTAAGAGCTATGTTGAGCTACGGCTGCTAACCAAAAGATCGGCAGTTCGAATCCACCAGCTGCTCCTTGAAAATCCTATGCGGCAGTTCTACTCTATTCTATAGGGTCACTATGAGTCAGAATCAACTCGAAGGTGACAGGATGCAATATCTATAAGGCTACATCCCTTTATTAACTCCAAGTATTTGTAATAAATGTATATAAATATAAATTTGTGAAAAATTGGCTTCTGTAATATTTTTTGCTTTCCTATCTGTTGACATGAGCTTGCTATTTTCCTTCAGTAAATGCTATAATTTTCCCTTCATAAGGACTCATATGTACCCTGTCTCACCAAAATGGTAGAAAGGGAAAATTAAAATTATTGACATAAAATTGACATTAAAAATATTGACCTTGTAAAACTATGTTTGCAGTTATAAGAGGTTACTATTTTTTATTTGGTGGGAAAAAAGATATCGATTCAAGTTCAGTGAGTAGTTGTCAGAGAAATATTCTCCAAAGGAGTAAGCCAGCAAGAGGCAGACCAGGGCCTTGACCTGCTGCAGAACGTTCTGTCCTCTCTCTTCTCTATCTTCCACTTCCCTTCCGCTGCTTCTCAGGTCTTCCCACCTGCACTGGTCTCCATTTTAACAAGGTGCCCACTTGTCATGCTCCCGGTCAATGACAAGGAGTGACCTGGAAGGGCCACATAAAGACCCAAAACGATTAAAGGAGGAGCACCAAACCTAAGTCAAGTCCTAACATAAACTAAGTCCTTCAACCTAGGAATCGGCGAAAACTCTTATCCAAGCAAAGCCAGGTCAGGTTCTCATTTCCAGTGGGCCAAGCCTCCTCCTCCTGTTGGTCAGGGGCTGCAGGCCTGGTCTCTGTGTAAGGCCCTCTGCTTGCTCTTACTCCTTGCATTTAACATTGTGCCTCTTTGAATCACTTGTCCTTCTCTCTTTCCTTCTTTCCCCTCCGCTTCCTCTTCTTCTTCTCTCTTTTTTTTTTTTTTTTGTTTATTGTTGGAGTTTAAATGAAG